TTTTTTAAGAGCACTTCGCCATAAACTCATCAAACATTCGGCTCACTCATGACTTTGTACGTGGAGTATTCATAAAATAGTTTATTTGTGTTGATGGCACCATTTTTATTTATTTTATTTATTCACCCAGTTCCGATGGTTGCTTCAATGGCCGAATGTGGGTGTGCTAAAACTGGTTGCGGACCGAGAAGTGCCTGGTCTGAGCCCTGTCGAGTCTCCTGTGGACCCCTGCGGGCCCACCTAGACCACTTTGGGAATCACAGGTTTAGTGCATCAATTTTACGAATAAACACAATTGTATGGATTTACTTTAATTAATCAATTTCAAAGAAATTTGGACGCCACCGTTTGATGAAAATTTTTTTACATTGCTTATCAGAAAGCTCTGAGATCTGCCGCTGAAAATTTGCTTTTCGTACAAAAACACCCCGGGCCGTTGATCGAATCGGCGTGAATTTACATTTCCAGGTAATTTGCTTGTATTAAAAGGTAAACAAAGAAAATAAGTAATTTCTTTCCCAAATTTAACAATCTGTTTGGTGTAAATTCATTTATTTTAAGTACAAAGCAAAATGAAAGTTACCTGAAGATTTTAGAACTCGATATTAGGGCATCATTAATGGAATTCACCAGAATAACACAAGTTTTATAAGAGTTCTATAGTGGTATACTTCCGCAAAATTTAATTACAAATACTATACCAGTTTGCTCTATAAAACAGCATACAAAGACTATAAGACTAAAAAGGCCACAGAAGGCGAGGCTTCGTAGTACAAAATAATGATCTATTATTAGTTTATAAATCATTTGTTGGTAGTTTTATAAGAATCCTGTAGTTTTCTAGAGCATGAGTTTATAAAACATTTAAAAGTTTTATAAGGCACTTTGTGTAGAGTCTGGCACTAATTAAAAGTTCCGTGGCGAGCGCCTTATAAGTCCTTCAAAGGTTTTACAAGACCATTTTATAGACTACTATAAGAGTTTTTTTAAACTACCAACATACAGTTTATAAACCAATAAAAGGGCAACATTTTGCACTTTTTTAAAGCTCATAGAAATCGTAACATCAGTTAATAACCGCTTTTGGTCTAAAGATTCACGTTGTGACGCTTCTTTTATAAATTGAAAACTTTAAAAAATAAATGGAAAGGTAAAATATTGTGCAAAAATATCTTTCGAAAGAGAAGTAGTTCTGAACTGAAATAGTTTTCTTTTCCTGAAATATTTTATGAAATGAAATGTCAATTGAATAATAATTAAAGGAATTTGTCTAATTATTTCTCCATTTCTCCTGAATGTAGTTTTATTTACGCAACGAGTTTTCTGGTAAAATCGGGACCGCTACCCTTGCTAAAGCTTACGCGCTTGTGAAATTCTTAATTTGTATTAAATAATTTATACATAAAATTAAAAATAAAAATTATAAAAATGTGGCATTTATTATTATAAACATTTCGCGAACGTTCGAAAATGACCTTCGATATCCAATATGCACATCGGACTGAGAACGAACTCATAACCAATCTTAGCTTTCCAACACATCGGACTGAGAACGAACTCATAACCAATCTTAGCTTTCCAACCTTTATAGTGTATTGGAAATACACTCGATATGGGTTCGGGAAAAAATTAAAACCATAGTAACAAAACAGGAAGTGAAACCTAGCTCATTTTCGAAGGGAAATATAAGACAATCACTCTCTCTAATTAAATTTTCAATTCGATAATGGGCTGGATTTCAAATTCATAACGAAGGAAAAATACATTGGATAACGAAGGTTCCGTTTTGCTGGAGATCTATTCCACATTAGTTATCGAAAGTGAGACTCAAAAAAAAGATTGGTTTTTCAATCATTTTCGAATTGTTGACCAAGCCCAATGTTTATTGGGAATTAACAGAGCAATGAATTATTTTCTGTCAAGATACAAGAAGAAGGTAGTTTCATTTCAAAATTTTTGACAAAAATTAAGTTTTTGAAGTTTCATAAATTGTACAAAATTATGAGCTGCCTTGCCACATTGACAGGAATCAAACAATACATCAGAGGATTTAATGTTGTGCATGGGAAACGTTCGGTTATTTGTGCAATTATATTTTGGAGGGAGCGGAGGGGGAAGAAGTGGGGCACCTAAAACTCCAGTCATTAGAAATAGCGCAGTATAGTCATCCTTCGCCACCGTGCCTTTCTACAGGGACCCATTTCGAAATAGAGTAAAATTAGCATTTTCACAATCCACAGTATTTTTGCGTAAAATCCACCTCCAAATTTATAAAAAAATGCATATTTCAAACCGAAATCTTTGTTTTAGGTTAAAGCTTAATCCTTTGACTAGCCGCATATGTTAAAATTTGTTGATTCGGGTCACACGTTTGGACACGATAACCCAAAATCACTTCACAAATAACCGAACCGTCCTCGAATTGTCGTTTACTATGCATTTTTTATACATACAAAATTTTAGAAAATTAAACTGCAGTACTTTTCATCTCATGTGCATGCGTATATATTTTTTACCAGCGCCACATATTTATCAGAAAATCCAAAGAGTTACAAGTTGCAGGGCATCATTTTAACTCAACCTCCTCTCCCTTCTACGGATAACGGTACCTCGTTTAGAGTTTTAAAAATATTTTGCGTCAGAAATTTGTCATCAAACTGCATTAGCAAAAACTTTTTTTCGAACCTTTCGACGAGCTTGAAACGTTTTTTTTTCTTCCTTTTTCAAGAAACAAAAATGTTACTGCTAGTGAATCTGGTAGCATGATTTTAGTTAAATGTCACAAACTTGTTAAAAGTCAAGTGGTCGGCAACAACAACGAATGTCAACAAATGAAACTACCTCCTATTTTTGTATCATGTTTTCTGCCATCAAAATTTCCTATAAGTTAAGAAAATTAAAATTTTAATTTTTTCACCGTACATTTTTTTTTTCATTAGCCAAAAATACATAAAACATATGGCGCTGCAGCAAGATATCTATCCAAAGACACTCATAAAGTCAATTTGTATATAAAAATCCAAAATAGTTTACGTGGAGCGCTTGAATATACTAATTCCTATTATACAAAACACTCATCCTAAATTTCCAAACACTCAAATCCTAAATTTCCAAATCCAAAAGTGTCTACGTGAAGAGCCATGAATCGAGCATTTTCTCTTAGAATATAGAAGTCATACGAAACGCTCAAAACGTATGTACATATTCAACTCTTAAAAAAGTATACGTGAACTTCATATGATGCCCATCTGTGTTAAATTACCTACGCCAATCCGGAAAAAATCTCTCAATTACCAATAATATCAATAAGCTACTCCCACGAAATTCTCTAAGAATTCAAAGCATATATTTCAGTAGTATATATATATAACTCAATTTCTTCAAATTCAGCTTTATACAAAGGTCAGTAGATAACTCACTAAAGACCTAATATGATTTAAAAACGTCTACTACATCAATTAATTAGTTGCAGTGTTTATTAAAACACAGGTTCTTGAAGAAATTCTCAAATTAAGAACTTCAGTGTTTGTAAAAGCATAGACAGACGGCAGCGTTGATCCCGATTAACAGCGCGGTTGATCTGTTAAAATTGTGTGGATTAACGAGCCGCAAGGTCGTGAGTTCCAGTCCCACGGCCAGTATAATTTTAATTAATTTATTTTTTATTAATTTTTTTATAAGTTCTATATTTTGTATCTTTGCTTTCAGTTAGTTGTTGTTGACTTTTTTAATACAATTTAGCTCTAAAAATTTAAATTAACTAATAGTAAAATAAAAAATGTGATATAAAATAAAACAAATTAAAATAAGATTAAGTAAAATTAAATAGATATATAAATCAAATAAAATAAAATAAATAAAATTGCTGAAAATCTAGAAAGAAAGAAGTCTGATGGGATTGAAATAGCTGCTATAACTTCTACCGGTTAGACTTTCTTAATTTTCCATGTTTCCTAATAGAATAATCGTGGCACAAAGCTCAATAAGAATATATTCACTATGATAGAAGTGAAACTTCTTAAAAAAGGTGTGCGTACCAGGTACCTACTCACGAAATTGCATGTGTAAACATATGTTTACGGTTCGGCAAACCATTAGGCGATTGTTTTACATACATAGGTTCGGTTAGAAATCAAACAATAATTTCATTTCATCTTATTAATTTTCTGATATACATATAATTTATTTATTCATTTTCCGGTAACACCACCTTATATGAATTCGCGCTTCTAGTTTCCATAGGACCGGGTTGTAATGGAAGTAATTGTATGTTTAACAAATAAATGAAAATGTTTATAATGCAATCAATAAATCCTTACGAATTCGCCATTACCAAGGCACTAAGTAACATTGTTTGCAAAATGCATTTATTTAAGTTGAAAGAAGACAAATTCCTTTGTTCGGCATTCATTCTTACTCGCTTTCTATCTTCCAAGGCGAATTCATATATTCTTATCACGAATTCATATATTCATGTGGTAGCAAGAGTATAAAAATATAAAATTACCTTATAAATTAAAAGCATCAGTATTACATGTATGCGTAGTCCGATTCACGAAATCCATTCATCGATCTCAGTAAAAACTAAGTGCATAAACTCTATTTCGCGTTAATTGTAATCATGAAATGGTGTTCATTCATTCATTTTCTACTCAAACGCATGAAATGATTTCATGGATTGGCCTACGCATAATGGTAGTAAATGACAGAATGAATTACAACAAACGCATCCTTTTGACATAATGCAAGCCGAAAACGTTGGTTCAAATCAATCCGCAATCAAGTTGGACGTTTTGCCCACAAACATTGCAATTTCGCGAGCAGTCTCATAGTAAAATCTCATTTTTACAATTTCATAGTTTCGGCTTACATTTATAAAATTCAACGAAAGCACGTACCTATTTCGTCTGAGTTATCCATTTTCGGTTATTTAGTGTACAAAATAAACGCAAATTAACCCGGATCACCCTGTTGTTGCCATATGGCAACGTGCGATAGACATGTTTTTACACGATCATAACACGCAAACGAATGCAGATACCGTTACTTTTAAGAATATACTCAACGCGTAATTATTTCTTCTTTTGCGCAAAATATGTTTGGCGACAGTTCGTGTGTGTTTGTGAGAGCTAGCGCTTCGTAGATAAAGCGCAAAATGTTGAGTGTAAAAAAAAGGGTTACAAAAAAGCAAGTGCATCTAAAATGTGTACTAATTATCTTAATCGTTTTAATGAATGTGATTTTTTTTAAGTGTTTGTTAAGAGTAATAACGTCACATAAGTGTATCACAAAAATAAAATGTTTTTGCGGTTTTTTTGAAGTTTTTTGTGCGTGTGTCCATATGGCAACGCCAGGTAGGCTAGGCCACTGCTTTCGTTGTAATGTTTTTTTGTGTGTTTCGGTAGTTTTCTTGTTTTCTCCAGGTTTCTTAAGGAATAATTTGACTGTAGAAAAATAAGAAACATCATTTAACATTCTCCAATTCTAATTTTTTAAGATCACTTTCTTTGCCAGAAGCACTAGACTTTTTAGAAGAATTATGTTCTGACGACGAGAGCGGAGCTCCAGCTAATGTGCAAGCATTATATATTCAGCCACCCCGTATTGAGGGGGATTTAAGTGGCGAAGATTCAGGTGACGATGATGGTGGACTACCAGACAATTTATGCCCAGCGCAGCTAAAGTCAGGGTGTGAAATTGTTTTGGAAAACGGTCGTCGAATAGAAAGTCTTGATGGCGAGCAAATTTGCCTTGGTACTGAAATCGAAGACGAGCCTGTTTTATTTGATATACTGGATGATTGTTTGCCGAGCTCATCAAAGAAAATATGTCGTGTGAATCCTTCAAAGCCTGGTGTTCCAATCCCACCAGCTAACAAAGAAAGAAATTTCACCTGGCGTACTACTAATTCGACGGCAGTTTTCCTATTTTCCCATTTTCTCTGAAGCAAATTATGAAGACAGTCGAGGACTTAGTCCTCATGAACTATTCGAAAAGTTTTTCAACGATGATTTGCTTGAACACATATGCAAATGTTCAAATTTGTACGCTACTCATCATCAAAAACGGTATGAAGAACTGAATGTGGGAGGTGAGGACTTGCTCAGCGGTTTTTATATCCCTAATCCAATATTTACATATTATTTCAGAACCTCGTGTGTTCATTGGGATTTTGATTGTGACTGGTTACAATCCAACACGGTCCTTTCGCGATATGTGGAGTAACGAAGATGATCTCCGTAACGGAATGGTATTCAGTGCTATGCGAAGAAACCGCTTCGAAGAAATAAATTATATGCTTCATTTCTCGTCATCAATATGCAAACCGAAAGATTACTCTGACAGATATGACTCCCTATGGAAACTACGTCCACTTACAGACCACATCAAGGCCAAAATGATGGAAAACTTTTACCCAGAACAAAATATCTCATACGATGAGAGTATGATTGCTTATTTCTAAAAGGGAAGCCAATTCGTTTCGGATACAAGGCTTGGTCTCTATGCACACCCAGTGGATATATGAAATATTTCAAGGTAAAAACCCGAGGTCAGATACTAAATATGAGGAAAGTTTTGGTACTTGTGCGGCGCCACTCCTATGTATGATAGACGATTTTGCAGACGAATACCATTATTGACTTATCTCAAAAACCGAGGCTACCATGCTACTGGTACGGTACGAGAAAATAGAATCCCCAAAAATTGTCCAATTCCACATAAAAAGGAATTACGAAAAAAACAGCGAGGCTATTACGAGAGTGTGGAAATGAAAGAAACAGGAATTCATATTACTAAGTGGGTGGATAATGCGGTGGTGTGTCTTGCGTCTACTTGCTTCGGTTGTGAACCAAAATCATCAGCATCTCGGTACAGCAGGCAACTGCATAAGAAAGTACCAGTTCCACGTCCTTGCGTTGTAACCGAGTACAACAAATATATGTCCGATATTGATCGATTTGATCAAAATGTTTCAGACAATCGCATTTCATTTCAAGGAAAAAAGTGGTGGCATTGCATTTTTACATGGCTTATCGATGCCAGTATTCAGAATAGCTGGCTACTTTATCGACGCGTTGTTCAAAATAAAACACTAAAGGAGTTCAAGCGAGATGTAGCAACTTATTACTGCAAGCACTACGGTACCAATCCAAAAGTGTTCCAAAAGCCATCGGGGAAGCAAATGAGATCGGACTGATCACTTCGTTATTCCAATAGATAAGAAGCGACGATATGCAGGAGATACATGCAAATCCACCGTGCGAACAGCTTGAAGGAAATGCGATGTTGGACTCTGTTTACCATGCTTTGAATCGTATCATATGAAACAATAAATTCTACTTTTTTTTAATAAAAAAAAATTTATTTCAATACAAATGTAATTAAAAAACTTACACTTTTCTGCTTTGAATAAACAACCTCAAAAACAACGGCTGTTAATTTCTTGAAAGGCATACATAATTGAGATATAAACCAGTGCCCTAGTCTACCTAGCGTTGCCATATGGCAACCGGACATTCTACGGATCCTAAGTGCAGGACCTAAAATTTAGTGATGCAGTTTTTTTACTTTACTCATAAGGAGTATGCTCCTGAAATATCTTTTTGAAACTACAAAAAAAAAATTACGTAGGGTGATACGGGTTAAATGAGTCTGTACAACATGGCCATTAATGTAGCGATAAGTTGTACAACTTGCCAGAAAATCGAAATTTTTTGATCTTTCATACCACCAAGACATAAATTCATTTAACGGGCCCACAAACGGTGCAATCTAGAGCAAAATAACACCAAGTTGAACCAACGGTCGCTACGTTTATTGCTTTCTTTAAGAAACATCGGGCGAAAATTTCAACTGCTCCTGTAACACTACCTTATATAAATTGGCCTTGCTATCATCCTCACATATGCTCATTAGAGTATACCAACGAAGGACGAGTTAATACAAGGAGCTAGCGAGAGTACAAAACTACTCTAGAAAATTACACGCACAATCAGAGTGTCCAGATTTGGCGATATCGCGCCAATTTGGGGATTTTTTTTTGTTTGGATATTCACGGATTTTCCAATTTTTCTATATCTTGAAAATCATGTAAGTAACATAGCGGCCATGTTTACTACCGCAGCACTTTTTATTCACGGATTAAAATTGTAATATCTCAGCGAAGCAAAAAGGTATTTGAGCAAACTCAACGCCATCTCAAAGAGAAAAGCGTGTACTTTAACACCTTTTTT